GTTCCTTTATTTGTAAATAGCTCAGCCACGTAATCTTAGGAAAACTTTGATTTATTTCTTCTTGAGATTTCAATTCCATTGAGTCATTCATTAAAAGTTCTTTATAGATTGGCCAAATTGTCTAGCCCAATGACCTTCTCTGTTTAGCTTCCATAGGAGAGATCCAAAGAGGTATTTTTGAATAATTCTAATTAATTCCAAATTCTAATTAATGAGGAGCGGACAAAGTGGTTACCAAAATTTCTTTCCTTCTGCTCTCTTCCGTACCAGACGTATGCATGCCAACCAACTTGGAGATCATGACCTTCTAATGTAAGAAGGTTTTCTCTCTTTAGTGTGATCCATTCCCTTAGCCAATCCATTCCCTTAGCCAAATCAAAGCGCATGCTTCGTGGTACAGTTTGAGGTTGGGAAATCCAAACCCTCCTCTATTTTTTTTTTTTGTCTGTCAAAACTTGGTATTTTATTCTAGCTTTTCCCCCCATCATGAGGTCTTTTGTCCAATCTTTGAATATATTAATGTTTCTTATTATAGGTATATTTTGGAACAGGTAGAGTAGTTCTTCCCATAAGAGATAAGTTTAAAAATCTCCACTTCTCCAGGTCTCTTCGTACTTCCTTCCATAGTCTTTCATAATTATTAGAGAGAAGCTGAGCATTTTTTGAAGTAATCCAGATGCCCAAGTATTTCATCTTATTTACGATTAAGAGGCCCGTGATTTCTTTTAATTCTTCTTGTTTCTCTTTTGTCATGTTCTTTGTTAAAATATTAGTTTTTTTGTTTATTTAATTTAAAGCCTGCCAGTTTGCCAAATTCTTCTATAGTGCTTAGCCAGTTTTTAATATTCTCTCGTGGATTCTCTATTATTCCAATTATGTCGTCTGCATACGCTCTGGCCTTATATTCCTGTCTTCCAATTTTAACCCCTTTGATCTTTTCATCTTCCTTTAATCTTTTCATCAAAATTTCTAATGACATTATAAAGATCAGGGGAGAGATAGGGCATCCTTGTCTAGAACCTTTCCCTATCGTGAATTCTTCAGATATTTGTCTGTTTATTTGTACTTTAGCCTTTTGGTTCTTATACATTTCTTCAATTGCTTTAACAAACTGATAACCTAAGTCCATTTCTTTCATTAAAGTCTTTTAAAAAATCCCAGTTCAGGTTATCAAAAGCTTTTTCGGCATCGATCGCGAGGAAGGCTGCTTCTTTTTGGGGCTTAGCTTCAAAATATTCAATCATGTCGATAACTATTCTCGTTATCTTTCATATTCCTTTTAGGTAAGAAGCCGACTTGTTCCTCCCCTAACCAACTGCTTAGAAGGTTCTTGAATCTTTGGGCCAGAATATTTGTAAAAATTTTATAGTCCACATTTAAAAGTGAAATGGGCCTATAATTTCATACATCCGATGGTTCTGTCTGTTCTTTATGAATAACTATTATTTCTGTAGAGTTCCACGTTTCCGGGATTCTCTGGTCTAGGAATACCCCGTTCATTACTTTCCTTAATATTGGCATAAGCTCTTTTTTAAAAGTTTTATAGTACCCAGCGGTAAACCCATCTGGTCCTGGCGCTTTATTTGCATCCATTTTCATTATGGCCGCTTCTGTAATTTCTCTATTTAAATCTTCTCTTTGGACATCCGTAATTTTGGGGATCTTAAATTTACTTAAATATTCCGTTATATCCTGTTTTGAGATTTTGTCACTCGCGTAGAGTTTTTCATAGTATATTTTAAATTCCTTTAAAATCTCACTGTCAGTTGTTACCTCATCATTCTCTTTTTTATTTTAATTATTCATTGGGCCTGCTTCTTTTTTCGGACTTGTTTTGCCAACCATTTACCTGCTTTATTTGCGTTTTCAAAATGGTTTTGTTTTAAAAACTTTAAATGTTTAGCTTGCTCCTCTATTTCTATATTATGTCTTTTCTGATGTAACAGTTCAATTTCTTTAAGTACAGCTTTATTCCCGGGTTTAATCTTCAATTCAGTTTCTTTAGCTCTTAGTTTATTCTGTATTTCTTTTAAATCCTTCTGTCTAAGTCTGTATTTTCTAGAATTGTGTTGGATAAAATGACCTCTTAAAACAGCTTTAGAGGCATCCCATATTACATTATAATGAGTGTCTAGATTGTTATTTATTTCCATATATGTATTAATAATCTCTTTGTATTTCTTTATGTCTTGTTCCGTTTTCATTAGATTCTCATTTAATCTCCATCTTCCTTTTAGTTTCCTTTGATTAAGAATAATTTCTAGGGGAGCATGGTCTGAAATATCTCTTGGCAAAATATTTATGTCCCAAACTTTTGTAATGACAGTTTTTGTGGCCCGACACATATCTATTCTTGACCACGTGTGGTGTCAATGAGAATAAAATGTATAGTCCTTTTTTGAGGGATTTCTCCATCTCCAAACATCTTCTAATATCTGGTCATCTTTTAAATCCATGAAAATTTTTGGCAGAGTAACAATTTTTCCCTTGGGACCTTTTTTTGGAATTTTTGTTTTATCAAGTTGACTGTTAAGTATTCCATTAAAATCGCCCAGAAGGATAAGGTCATTAAACTCCACTTCGTCCAATTTCCCCTTAAGGTTTTCCACAAATTTGGTTTTAGGCCCATTGGGGGCATATATGTTACAAATTAGTATTTTTTGATTGCCCGATAGGATTGTGACCGCCAAAAATCTTCCCTCTTGATCCTTAAAGGTTAATTCCGATTGTAAAGTTTCTTTGATATATAAAGCTACTCCCCTTTTCTTTTTTTCGAAAGAGGAGTAGTATACTTTACCAATTTTCTTATTTGTTAAGTGGGCCATATGTTTGTGCATAATATGAGTTTCCTGTAAAGCCACAATGTCATACTTTTCCTTTTTTAACTTATTAAACAATGCTTTCCTTTTATTTGGAGAATTGAGACCATTCACATTCAAAGAAAAAAAGCTTTATTTGTTGTTCAGTTATCATTGTTTGCGTTGTCTATATCCAATCCAGGGTCATCTCTCTCTGCTTCTGGGTAAGAGGTTCCTTCGTCATCTGTTCCAGTTGCATCGTAGTCAGGGGAGTTGAACCTTGCTCTCTTGCTATTTTTACCCTTTCTCGGGGTGGTTGGTGTCTTTTTTGCAGTTGATCCAGCATCTAGTTTACGTTCTTGATTCGGATATTTATTTCTTGCCTTGTCTGGGTTTTGGTTTTTCATTAGACTCTCATAGAAATCCTTCGCTTTCTCTATTGATGTCAGCCAATATTTTTGGTCATTAAAAGTAGTCATTATCCCCTCCGTTTTCTCCCACCTAAATCTTATGTAGTCCAGTCTTGAGATGACCATGGCCTGGATCACCGTAGCTAGGTCGTCCCTGGGCAGGGAGGGGGCCAGCCGTCTAGCATGCCGCAGGTGAAAGAAGGCGGTTCTGCTCACGGCAGATACCTGGGCTTCCCATCGTCAGCAGAGGGTCCAAAAGGACTCCCAGACTCTTTACCAATGATGACGGGCGTAGTGCCTCGCCATCCAGGGTAGGCAGCTGGATATCCCCACTGCCCGGTTGACCCAGCCATAGGATCTCCGTCTTTGCTGGATTCACCCTCAACCTGCTGGCACGCAGCCATCCAGTCACGGCCTCGAGGCACTGATGGAAACAATCGGGTACAGAGTCCGGTCGGCCTTCCATCTTCAGCACCAGCTGAGTGTCATCACTGAGTGTATATATATTAAAACTGTGAAACGAGTCCGAGATAAGTGAACCACGAAGTAGCAAAGGAACACTGTATAAGTATATGTGTGTGTATATATATATGTGGTTTTGCACATGTGTTGTAAGGGCTTTTTGGGTCTCTTCTGGTGTGTTTTTCAGTGTTTTTATGAGTGATGGTCACTCGTTGGCCTGATAGGTGTATTGTGTCCAAATTTGGTGTCAATTCATCCAGTGGGTTTTGAGGTATGTTAACCCACAAGCATTACATTTTTAATAGATGTTTGCTTTTAGAATTATTGCCATGTTCTGTGACCCGCCTTGAGGAGAGGTGGGCAAGAAATCCAACATTATTATCATTACAGTGGTTATCATGGTTAGGCCCAGGGGCAGAAGGCGGGGTGGGGTGGGGGCCTGGCTACCGGGGTGACAACTGAGATGGCCGCTCTTGGGGTGCAAGATCTCCTCCCGCCGTTTCCTTCTCTCCAGCCAATGGGGTCCGTCCGGCACGTGGTTTCCTTGCGGCACAGGAAGTCTCTCACCCTCCCCTCCCCCCATGCATCATCACCACCATCATCACCCCATTCCCTCCCCCCGCCCCCCAGTTTCTCAAGGCAGTTCTTGAATGCAGTTGTGAAAGGCAGCAACTGATACATTTATTTAGCAAAGGATCATGTCTGGTCCAAGGTAAACATATGTGGGCATGAATACTGTATTGGGAAGCACCAATCTGCATGAATACTGAATGATGTGCTGAGGTAATGTAGAGGAAGCACAATGGATCGAGAGAAGAAAAAACAGCTCATGGCCAGAAAAGCACCATTAAACACAGCAAAACAGCGGAATTGGCATCAAATACATGAGTTCTGGGTACATAGGCAGACAGATAGACGGACAGATATCTGTCTGGTTATGTATCCTGTGGGAGAGTGGTCTTGGCTCCCACCACACGAATGCGTTCATTGCCTAGCAATGCATGAAGCAATAGCAAGGTTGCCTCCTGCGGCCACTTCCTTCAGGCCCATAGGGCCACCATTGCATGCATGCACGCATGCACATACACACACACACAACACATTGGGCAGAGGTAATGGGCCTTGCTCATGGAGTGCCTTTCCCAGGTGCATCCTCCAAGGAAGCGTGGCTGAGTGAGTGCGCCTGCGAAAGGTGTGGCAAGGCCCTGGGAGGGAAGCACAACATCTTTCTCTAACTAATAGCACATTGGGTCCAAAGAGGCACAAGAGCAGGCCAAAGGCAGCAGCGGAAGGCGCCTCAAGGGGAGGGGGCGGTGCTGGGAGGCCCTGATCACAAGTGCCTGAACTGGTTCAAGGTGAACCCATGCACCATCTCAACAATCCCCTGGAAAAGGAGCCTGCCGAATGTAATCAGCCCCTCAAGGATTATTTCCAGCCAGGAGCGATCCTGGATCTTGGCGATCTCCTCCTTCAGGCGCTGGACCTCCTCCCTCATCTGCCGGGCCTCCTTCTGGAACCCCTCGTTCAGCAGCGCCTCTTGCTCCTGCAAGAAGAGAGAGAGGCAGACCAATGAAGTGTGGGGCTCTCATAATGGAAGGGATGGGGAGGGGTTGTTGCTGGGACCCCAGGGAGGCCTACCGCCAGCCGGCTGTCTATCATCTTCTTCTGCTCCTCCAGGAGCTGCTCCCGATCCTTCTCCATCTTGACCTTCAGCTGCTGGATGTTCTCCTCGTAGCTCCGCTGCCGGTCCTGCATCTTCTGCTCCAGCTCAGCCTGCCTCTGCCGCTGGACCTCCTGCTCCCTCTGGGCCGCCTCCGCCCGCGCCCGGGCCTCTGTCCAGCGAATGGGGGAAAGGGAGAAAGGAAAGAAGGGTGAACCTCTGCAGACCCCCACCCCCCTCACAATGGTCACTTGATGCAGCTCTGGCCCTTAACTGCTGAAAGGGGAGCCTTGTGGCCAGTTCCCCTTTCTGGGCCAGGAGGGGGGCTCACCTTTCACTTGCTTCTCCTTCTTGCTGAGGGCCGTGTCGCTTTGGAGAATGGCTCTGCCAACGGCCTCCTTGCCCTTCAGGAAATGCTTCAGGGCCTCTTCTGCCTGGATGGAGGAAGCAAAGCTCAGGAGGGCCGCCAGGAAGGGCCTGGACCGGACGCTGCCAAAGGGTCTGCCCCAAGGACCCCCTCTCCTGTCACCAGCAAAGGGATTCTGAGGACCTGGGGGCACAGGTGGGGGGGGGGTGAGCACACTCTTGAGCTCCCAACACAAGGACACTTCCCTTTGCTTCAGAATTTGGAGGGCCTTCCACATACTTTGGGAATCTGCAACATCAGTGCAAGAAGACCAATTCTGGGCCGCAAACATGAACATGGACATCACGGATGCGCCCTCTTGCACCTCCGCTAAGACCCACACGTCACCCCTAATGTTTGTGTTGCAAGTTCTAAGAAATCTTTGGTTTGTAGTGTGCATTGTTGGCATCCACTTCATCACATTGAAGCAATGAAATGGTTGGCTGAGTAGAGCTGAATAGAGCTCTATTTTTCAATGAAACAGATTATTTCCCTACCATCATCACACTGTTAAATGTATCCATGCAACTCAGTAGTACTCTGCATTCTTTGAGTTTATTTGTCTTCACATTATAGAAATTTGGCCATGCCCACCATCCCTCCCCACTGCATTTTTGTTGAAAAAGACAAACCCTCCTCTCTTTGAAATCCCAGCTTCCCTACTAATGCAAGATCACATGTCAGCTGTTATGTGTCATGTGACAATGCTCTCCCTCCCTCCCTCGCCCCACAGAGATGAGTGGGGACCTTGGAAAACTATAACTCCTAGCATACATAGTATGGAGGTATGGTATTTAAAGTAAGGTCCGGCTGCATTCATTTCACAGTGTAGATGCACCTAGAGAAGGGTATGAACCTTGAGAAACTATAATTCCCAGGAGGACTCCATCGCATGGAGCCATGGGATTTAAAGTGGGGTGCAATGGCATTCATTCCATACTGTAAATGCACCAAGAGAAGGGTATGGACCTTGGAAAACTTTGACTCCCAGGACTGCACAGCCTGGAGACACGTCATAATAGTAGTAGTAATAATAATAATAATAATAATAACAACAACAATAATAGTGTGGCAGTCATTAGGGAGAAAATAATTATAATTATAATGAATTTAAGAAACAGAAGGTCCTACCTTAATGCTGACGCTTGAAAAGGAGATTTTTAGGGTAAGGGAAATTCAACAGATGGTATGAATCAATAAGAGGTGGGGGTAGCTTGCTCCATAAACAAATATTTGAAGAAGCCAAAGGCTAAACATAGAAGGCCTGATGAGTGAGGTATATCGATAATATTGATCCAAGACTGGAACATCTAAGGTCATATAGTAAGAGAGTGCCATCTCCTGTCTATTTGATGTAAATTTCAGATACATTCTATAAAATGATCAATTCCAGTAAAACAAGATTATGAAAATAATTACAGAAGAATTAATAAGGAAATTACTTTGAATAAGTTTATGTTAAAAGCATATATATGAAGTTATGATTCATTTTAAGATCTAAGAAAATTAGGAACACGTCATCTGGGGGTAAGGCTAAAGGCTAATGGAAAGACAAATATTTGGGGTCGTGATGATTTGCCAAAAGTGTTCTTATATAAGAATTCTTGTTAATGATTATGTATTGTGTACGTGGCAGAGTTGGTATACGCACGTGCAAACTGGTAATTCTCTCTATAAATACCGGGCTAATTTGGACAGAGGGGTGTGCTTCATCAGCCATCTTGAGGAGCTAAGCACCCTTACCCGGGTAAGAATAAATACTGGAAACTTGCTAAGCTGTCTCTGTCTTCTTCCTTCCCCAACGAAACCCATGGAATCCTGGTAAATGGTTACCCTGCTGCAACAATAGCAACAACAACTATTCTCTCCCGGCTTTCCCATGCAACACAAGGCACAGACACATCGGGAAGGGAAAGGGAAGGACCCAGAAATATTATGTTTTAATAAAGAAATTGTTCTGGTAATTATTACATAAACTTACCATGTATTGAACTGCTTTTTCAATCAATTGGTTATAAAATGTGCTTTGGTGCTTAATTTGTAAAATCATAATATAATTTGACATTGAATAGGGTTCTGCCAGCCCGTTTATGTTGGATAAGCGAGACTCTACTGTATTTAGTAAATGTGATGAAGTGAATAGTTAGTCACCGCACTCTCCATTTTGATGCCTGCATACATGTCTATATTGAACTGGCCAAGAATCGCCAGGGTGGCCCTGCATGACCCAGCCCTCCCTCCCTTTCTCCCTCGCTCTCTCACTTTGTCTTTCCTTCCTTACCATCACCCCCTTCTTAGGCTCCTGGTGGTATCTTCTCTCAATGTCCTTCAGGTCTTCCACAAACTGCTGGTGACCATTGGGCCGGGAGTAGACCCCGCTGCGCACCTTCTCCTCCAGCTCCACGGAGAGAGTGGCCAGCAGAGCCTGGCTGCGTTTAGTGGACTCTTGCTCATTCCTTCGGCAGTATTCCTCCTTCCAGTCATCCAGGGTTTTCTGGAAGGAAAGGAGATACAGAGGAAGGACACGACTGACAACTCTCAGGGACATGCCCAGTTTTCTTACTGTTCTGCAGAGAGGAGAGCATGCAAGATGTCTTCAGACAGTTTGAGACAGAAAGCAAGACCTTGAATTTTCTCATATTTAGTTTTGCCCCATAAGACGGACTTTTGTAACTTTGAAAGCCTGCCTTTGCTCCTTGAATTGCTAGAACTCATTTGCTCTGTTGCTGCTGTGTTTGGAAGCTTCTGCTCTGCTAAACTGCAACATTTTGCTGCTGCTTTATTTTACCGCTTTTTCCTTTTTTAAACTCCAATGAAGACACCAGTCCTGTGGGGCTGGGAGTACTGCCAGTGGGACCAGTGACTCTTCTGTGCTGGGGCTCCCTTCCTTCCTATAAGAGACACCCCACCCCCACCCACTATCAGGCCTTAGCAATGGCCCTTCTTGTGGGGCAACCTACTATGAGCTTGATCTGGAAGCGTTGCTTGTCGTCCTTGAAGATACATGCCATGAAAACCTGGAGGGCCTCCTTCTCGCACTCAGCATGGATCCCCAGCAGCTCTGGGATGCTCTCCGTGGGGAGTCTCAGCCTCTGTTCCATTAGCCCCTCATAGTGGGCCACAGCCTCCTCCACAGCAGCCACATTCTGCATCTCTGCCAAGGCCAGCACCATACTCTCCATGCAGGGCACTCTCCCGCTGCTGATAGTCTCCACATAGGTCTCCACCAACTTGGCCAGCACTGCGAGAAGGAAGGCGGTGACACAAGGCAGGCATCAGGTGATGGTGCCCATTGCAGCGTTGAAGCAGGGCTCTGTCCCCAGCAGCCAGAGGGAAGAGGTACAGGTCCCCAGCACCTTTGGCCTTTATAATCACAAACATCTTGATGCCCGAGGCAGGAGAGAATGGCCTGCCCAGAGGAACAAAGGGTAGACCAGAGATAGCCCTGCATCACGTTGCAACTGCAGCATCAGGAAGGAGGGTGGGAGGGCAGGAGGAAGGAACTCACGATGCCCAGTGACCACATGTCCCCCTGGAAGGGTCTTCTCCTTGGAGGTCCCGTAGATGTAGTTGCAGAACTGGTTGGCCTGCTCCACAAAGTCGGGTGCCAGCTCGTTCTCCTCCATCTGCTCCAGGCGGTTCATGTTCTTCCGAAGGGTGGGGCAGTCAAAGATGAAGCACTTCCGGGTGGGGAAGAAGAAGCGGATGCACTCGCGGGGCAGGTTGAAGAGCTGGACATCGGGGGTGTCCCCTGTGCAGGAAGGAGGAGACAGGAGACAGGAGACAGGTGGACCCCACTGGACCCCCAAAGGAACCTCTTCCCTTGCCCTGAGGCTAAAGAGTCAGTGGGGAAGCAGCAGAAAACAAGTGGGATTGAATCAGCCGAGGAGGCAGATTTAGTCAAGGGGTGCCGGCTGCAGGATTCCACCATTCTAGCGGACACTCCTGCAAGTTCACTGTTGCCCAAAGAGTGAAGTTGGGAAGTAATTTAGTCATTAAGCCAGTAGACTTCTTAAGGACTATCTTCATGGTTACGCATCTGCTAATGGGTGGATTCTACTCAACACACACAAATCAAGCTTGCTAATGGGACCCTTTACTCTTTAACAGACAATGGTTCTTTCCTCCTACCCTGGACACTCCACAAGTCGATATACTCCACTTGCTCAACTACCACTTGCTCAACTACCAGATATACTACTACCAGATCATGTGAAGAGAGATACTGACGAGCTGGAATGTGTCCAGAGAGGGGCAACTAAAATGATCAAGGGTCTGGAGAACAAGCCTATGAGGAGCAGCTTAAAGAGCTGGGCATGTTTAGCCTGAAGAAGAGAAGACTGAGAGGAGACATGATAGCCATGTATAAATATGTGAGAGGAAGTCATAGGGAGGAGGGAGCAAGCTTGTTTTCTGCTGCCCTGGAGACTAGGACAGTGAACAGTGGCTTCATATTCTCATGTTTATGTGTTGTTTAGACAGTGGTTGATAAATGGTAAGTATGGAGGATTATGTTTTGTTGGAGATGGTGGCTTGGCATTAGCTGAGTTGCCATAGCAACAGGGGCGGAGCCAACTGCCTCTTCACGGGGCAGCTGTTTTGAAAGTCAGTCAGTAAGCCGGTGAGCTACTGGGAAGACTGAGTCTCTGGGTGGAGATTCAGGGAATGTGTCTGTAGCCGGTGTGCTATAGGGAAGACTGAATCTCTGGGTGGAGATTCAGGGAATTAATTGGTGACCAAAGGGGTTACAGAAAAGGACCCGGTAGTGATAAAACTACAGGGGGTTATTGATTCTGAGTTAAGAATCAAGGTTTGGCTGGGAGCCAATTCTGTTAATAAGCCTTTTAGCTTATTTGTTTTATTAGGACAGTTGTCCAGAAGAGTTACATCTGCTTATAGAAACCTCTTGAAGTCTGTGCCTGAGATTACTCATGAAACCTTTCTAATGTAACCATCAAGATTTGTGCCTCTTTTGAAGAAACAGTTAAACATGTTATACTCCTGTTAAAATAAACTTGTTACTGTTTTCCTCAAGCCTTGCCTGATACAGTTTCTCCTAAGTTGAACAGCCTGCATAAGTAAAGTCAAGCCAGGGACAGTAAATGCTACGCTATCAAATGAATAAAGCCTTCTGTAATTAATAGTCCCTTTATAAAATAGCTCCTAAGCTGATATTGATCGTTGCCCGGCTTCCCTCACAGATTAGGTGGCAGTAAGTTCAACCACACTCCTTCACACAATGGAACAATGGCTTCAAACTACAAGAAAGGAGATTCCACCTGAACATGAGGAAGAACTTCCTGACTGGGAAGAGCTGTTCAGTGGTGGAACTCTGTGCCCTGGAGAGTGGTGGAGGCTCCTTCTTTGGAAGCTTTTAAACAGAGGCTGGATGGCCATCTGTCGGGGATGCTTTGAATACAATTTTCCTGCTTCTTGGCAGAATGGGGTTGGACTGGATGGCCCAGGAGGTCTCTTCCCACTCTAGGATTCTATGATTCTATGTTCAGAGCCACAGGTGGAGGTGAAATCAAAAAAAGGAGAAAATGCTGCTAGAACACACAACACCCCTCTACCTTTCTTCAACTTCAGTGCGTTCTCCAGGTATTCGTCCTCGGTGATGGGCTTCCCGTTCAGTTCCAGCTGCAGCGTGAAGTCCCTCAGGGTCCAGACAAAGCTGGGGAAGAAGCGCAAGTATTCGACTGAGTCCTCCAGGTCCCTGCCTGCGCCGCCCCCAGGAGAGGCCTTGGCTTTGATGTGCTCCGTCAGCTCCGTCACATAGCTGGAGGGGGTCCGGTTCAGGAATCAAGGGCCCTGCAGACCCCACCACCCCTCCCTCCTCAAGAGCCCTCTGGCCATGTCAGAACAAGGAATGCACGGATGGCACGCAGGGGTGGGGAAGCTTAAGTATTGGTCAAAACCTGCTTTTTACAGGGTGAATCTCTCTCTTTCCTCCCACTCACTGGAAGTGTAGCATCTATGTGCATACATTCCCAGCTCCCTGGGTGCTCTTAGGGTCTGGTCTGCCCAGTGATGCCACGCGGGGCGGGGGGGATTCTTCATCAGAGAAGAACCTTCTACCAATATTTACTCGCTTTGTGTTATGGCTGTTGAATAGATGCCGGTGTTGCTGGGCTTGCCTGGGCTTGAGGCCCTCAGCCTCCCTTTGTCAAAGGATGGGCAAGGCATGTCCCACTGGAGCGGCCAGGGCCACTACCGTGTTGGGATGGGTGGGGGTCTGCCTCATGGAATGAAGGCCGGAAGGAAGGATACTGGAGTTTGTCCATGGCGTCCTGGTCAATGGTGCCCTTGCTGTTGTAGACCAGGGTGCTGCTGAGGAGGACGGACAGGGCAAAGATCCAAGTGTCATTCTGCGTGTCACCCTGAAAGGAGAGAGGAAGACATAAAAGGGTGGCTGCTGGGCAAGGTACAGTTGATCAATCGATTAATTGCTGGCCCTTGAGGCTGCAAGGCACCCCCCCCCCTCCTTTCTTGCATAAGAAAAGAAGCTTGGCCACACGCAGGCAGGGCTGGCGCAGAGGCCGTCCTGGAAGAGGGAGCCTGGGCCAGTTTGAAATACGAAGGAAGGCTGAAACTAAGACAAGTCAAACCCACATTCTGGACTTTAGGAGAGCTGACTTCCAAAAAATGAGAAATATTGAGCAGCATTCTGTGGACACAGATACTAAAAAACAAGGGAGTTATGGATGAATGGGAGTTTTTCAAGAGTGAAATACTCAATGGCGCAATTGCAAACTGTGCCAACAAAGAGAAAAAATAGGACAAGTGCAAAGAAGCCAGAATGGATGTCTAAAGAACTTCTAACTGTGCTAAGACACAAAAGAGACATGCACAAGAAGTGGAAAAAGGGAGAAATCACCAAAGAAGAATTCAAACAAATAGCCAACCTGTAGGGAAAAGGTCCGCAAGGCTAAAGCACAAAACGAGCACAGGCTTGCCAGGGACATTAAAAACAACAAAAAGGGCTTCTTTTCTTATGTCAGTAGAAAAAGGAAAAACAAGGAGGCGATAGGGCCTCTTTGAGGAGAAGATGGGGCAATGCTGACAGGGGATAGGGAAAAGGCAGAACTGCTTAATGCCTTCTTTGCCTCGGTCTTCTCACAAAAAGAAAGCCATCCTCAACCTCAGCAAGCTGGAGTGGATGAGGGATTAGAGGACATCCAACCCCAAATTGGGAAACAAGGTGTCCAGGAATACCTGGCCACTGTAAATGAGTTGAAGTCCCCAGGACCAGATTAACTACACCCAAGAGTACTGAAGGAACTAGCGGAAGTCATTTTGGACCTCTGGCAATCACCTTTGAGAGTTTTTGGATTATTGGAGAAGTTCCAGCAGATTGGAGGAGGGTTAATGTGGTCCCTCTCTATCTTCAAGAAGGGAAAAAAGGATGATCCAAACAATTACCAATGTCAGCCTCATATCAATACAAGGCAAAATTCTGGAAAAGATCATTAAAGAAGTGGTCTGCAAATACTTAGAAACAAATGCGGTCATCGCTAATAGTTAACATGGATTTATCAAAAACAAGTCATGCCAGACTCATCTGATCTCTTTTTTCAATAGAGTTACAAGATGGAGATAGATGCGGGGAATGCCGTGGATGGAGCGTACCTGGATTCCAGTAAGGCCCCTCATTGGATGAGTAAGATAGGCAATCCCTTGTAGCTCATAGATGGTTGTGGAGCCCTATTCTTTATTCGCATGTTCTCTCACAGTGAGGTCATTGGTTTCCAGGTGGAAGGCGGTCTGGTCAGGGTTGGCTTGACACGCCTTCCTCTTGGCACGTTTCTCTCTTTCACCCTCCACTCGTGCCTCCTCAAATTCTGCAGCACTGCTGGTCACAGCTGACCTCCAGCTGGAGCGCTCAAGGGCCAGGGCTTCCCAGTTCTCAGTGTCTATGCCAGAGTTTTTAAGGTTGGCTTTTAGCCCATCTTTAAATCTCTTTTCCTGTCCACCAATGTTCCATTTTCCATTCTTAAGTTCAGAGTAGAGCAACTGTTTTGGGAGACAGTGGTCAGCCATCCGAACAACGTGGCCGGCCCAGCGGAGTTGATGTTGGAGGACCATTGCTTCAATGCTGGTAGTCTTTGCTTTCTTCCAAGACACTGACATTTGTCTGCCTGTCTTCCCAAGAGAATTGCGGGATTTTTCGAAGGCAGCGCTGATGGAATTGTTCCAGGAGTTGCATGTGACGTCTGTAGACAGTCCACGTTTCGCAGGCATAGAGCAGGGTTGGGATGTAGCGTACCTGGATTTCAGTAAGGCCTTCTACAAGGTCCCCCATGACCTTCTGGCAAGGAAACTAGTCCAATGTGGGCTAGGCAAAACTACGGTGAGGTGGATCAGTAATTGGTTAAATGGACGAACCCAGAGGGTGCTCACCAATGCTTCCTCTTCATCCTGGAAAGAAGTGATGAGTGGAGTGCCGCAGGGTTCCGTCCTGGGCCCGGTCCTGTTCAACATCTTTATTAATGACTCAGATGAAGGGTTAGAAGGCAGGATCATCACGTTTGCAGACAACACCAAATTGGGAGGGAGAGCCCATACTCCAGAGGACAGGAGCAGGATTCAAAACCATCTTGACAGATTAGAGAGATGATGAGCCAAAACTAACAAAATGAAGTTCAACAGGGACAAATGCAAGATACTCCACTTAGGCAGAAAAAACGAAATGCAAAGATACAGAATGGGGGACATGCTGGCTTGAGAGCAGGACGTGTGAAAAAGATCTTGGAGTCCTCGTGGACAACAAGTTAAACATGAGCCAACAATGTGATGTGGCGGCAAAAAAAGCCAATGGGATTTTGGCCTGCATCAATAGGAGCCTAGTGTCAAGATCTAAGGAAGTCATGCTCCCCATGCTCTATTCTGCTTTGGTTAGACCACACCTGGAATATTGTGTCCAATTCTGGGCACCACAATTCAAGAGAGATATTGACAAGCTGGAATGTGTCCAGAGGAGGGCGACTCAAATGACCAAGGGTCTGGAGAACAAGCCCTATGAGGAGCGGCTTAAGGAGCTGGGCATGTTTAGCCTGAAGAAGAGAAGGCTGAGAGGAGATATGATAGCCATGTATAAATATGTGAGAGGAAGCCACAGGGAGGAGGGAGCAAGCTTGTTTTCTGCTTCCTTGGAGACTAGGACGCGGAACAATGGCTTCAAACTACAAGAGAGGACATTCCATCTGAACATGAGGAAGAACTTCCTGACTGTGAGAGCCGTTCAGCAGTGGAACTCTCTGCCCCGGAGTGTGGTGGAGGCTCCTTCTTTGGAGGCTTTTAAACAGAGGCTGGATGGCCATCTGTCAGGGGTGATTTGAATGCAATATTCCTGCTTCTTGGCAGAATGGGGTTGGACTGGATGGCCAACCAGGTCTCTTCCAACTCTAGGATTCTATGATTCTATGTTCCATTTCCTCCTGATGTTCACTCTGCCCAGTTTTGTGCCACTTGCAAGGGTCCCAGCCACCTATCCGCATGCCTTCCAATGTGTGCATGAAACACTCACCACCGCAGTGCAGAGCCTCCCAGTCCCATCCCCGCCAGGCACTCCGGAAAGAGACCATGGTCACAGGTATCAAATGCCACTGAGAGGTCCAGGAGGACCATCAGGGTCACACTCCCTGTCCAGGTTCCCCCAAAGGTCACCCACCAAGGCCACCAATGCCATTTCTCTGTGCCTGTTTGGTCAACTGTTGGCGGAAGACTTCATCAAGTTCTTCCTCCTGGCTTGGAGGTCTGTAGTAGACACCTACAACAAGATCTTTTTGAGTCCCAGTTCCCTTGATTCTTATCCAGATGCTTTCAAGCTGGTTTCCCGGATTGCTGTCTTGCATCTCTTCTGCAGCATAACAGTTTTTCACATATAATGCTACTCCGCCTCCAGCAGGGTCACACTCCCCTGTCCAGGTTCCCCCGAAGGTCACCCACCAAGGCCACCAACACCGTTTCCATCGCATGAACTGGCCTGAAGCCAGATTGAAATGGATCTAGGCCAGGCATGGGCACACTTGGGCCCCTCTCCCTCCAGGTGTTTTGGACTCCAACTCCCACCATTCCTCACAACCGCAGGGCTCTTGCTTTTCTTCTCTCATCCTTTCCACTTAAGCAGAAGAGGAAAGGGCTTGAGCTGTGAGGAATTGTGGGAGTAGCAGTCCAAAATACTTGGAGGTGAGGGAGATGTAGTTTGAAAAGGGAATTTTCAGGGATGTCCCCAATGCCCATATGTCCTGATTTACTGCCACTGGCCTTTGTTTACAGATAATGCTGATGGTTTGAGAAAATGTTGCTGCTGTAAGGAATGAATGTGTATGTATGTAGAAGAGCAGAAGAAACAGGCCTGAACAACATGGAGTCCCCGCAAAGCATTATGTGGGACGGCCTTGGCAGCTGAAGCGAGGACGCAGCAAGGCATAACTGGAGGACAATGGACAATAAGGTGTGCGACCGAGCATGTAAGGAGAACATGATCATACAGGAGGTACCCCATAAATCATGAGGCCAGAAGTCTTAACGTCCTGAACTTTGGACAGAACAAAGATTTGAGAGAACTTGAAGGAGAACGGGACGACTTGACTCTTGAGATGAAGAAAAATGGATTTTGGCCTATAAATGTAGGGGGCTTCTAACAATCTGCACGTCTCCTGATCCGCGGCACCGGGACACGTCCATTCCTCTTCGGAAAGACTGATCACCTTCGCCGGAAGAGGCCTGTGTGTGCGTGAGTATGAACGAGTGTGCGTGTGCAAGAGAGCTCTCCTTGATGTGATTCTGATGTGATTATGTGATGCTGATACTTCAATAAATGTTACATGAATAGTGGCAAAACCAAATTTGGTCTCCAAAGTGTCTCATTGATCTAAGCTACCTTACCATTCCTTATACACTCTGCACAAAAGAACAGGAACCTCTTTGGGTTCATAACAAATTGGCGTAGTCGGCAGGATTGCAAGTGTAAAGGAATTGGGGTTGATGGATCCTTAAGATACTTGGGAGTGGAATTGGAGGGACGCCTCCACTCTGTGAAACACTGAAGGGCATAGGTGTTCTCAGGGGAATTGAAGTTGGATCCAAACCGGAAAGCGTTGAAGGGCATATAGCGCTTTTTGGACTGATTGTGGGATCTAGTGTGCAAAGTACCGAAGGAAATAAGTATTTTGCAAGTGAGATCCAACCGGAAAGTGCTTAAGGGCATGTGGCACTTTTTCGGATTGAATTCTGGGTTTGTGTGAAGTGCTGAAGGAAATAGGTGCTTTTACAGGGAGACCCAGGCTGGAAAACGCTTAAGGGAATGTGGCGTTTCTCCGGATTGAAACTGGTTTGATTTTCAGGTTTTGAATTGAGAGTGTTGAAAATAACATTGTGTGTTTTCATTTGATTGAAGTGAGAATATCAGAAGTGTTTGATGAACATGGCA